TCTCAAACTAACACGCCTATATAGTATGTCTCACTCTAACGCGTACCGGCTGCACCGGCCGCGCTAACGCTATGTCACCGATCTCGTCAGTGACACGTGAATACGCAGTATGCGTTCTGTCCCACTCTAACGCACCTGCGCTACGTCACCGATCACGCCAGCGGCCAGACCGATGTGAGACGCAGTATGCGTTCTGTCCCGTTGGCCGCACGTATATTACGTTATTGTGTGTAAAGGCCCATTTACACGATGCCATTTTCTTGTACATACCAGAGCAATAATTGAATGCAATAAATGAAGCGCAATAATTGCCGTTCAAGAATTGGATGCAACTGTTTACACTTGAAAACTTAAATGCAATTATTGTATTCAAGTATTGACAAGGAAATAATTGCACATGCCTTTGTTTACACCAATGCAACTATTTTAAGGAGATTATTGCTTTCAAGTTTTGACTTGTCTAAACACAGGCTTGTACGTGCGTATACCATTTAATGGCGCTTTCGTGCAAGTATTGCACGTATTTGCATTGACAAATTTTTCATTCGAGTCTTAAATATTTTAGAAGAGTGTCGGAGTTTGAATATGTAAATATTAATGTAATAAAGGCAGGTAACACTTGTCACATGTAAAGAAAAAGTTTTAGTTTAGAATATAAAGAATACCTGTTTGAATTTTATATAAAAAGATAGTTTCTGTTTTTTGTTTTTAGTTCTTCTATTCTAGACGCAGATAGTGTAACATCTTTGGCTCTTTATAAACATTAATTATTGTTTTTTTTTTAAATAGACCCTCACCACCAGAGCTCAGTCTTCTTAAAAGATTAGAACCATCCAACAGAGAGGTATGAATATGAGTAAAAAGGTGTTTAAATTCAGTTATGCTGATATAATAAAGTTCATTGAGATTTATCGCAGTCATGAGTGTTTATGGGATACCGAAAATGTAAATTATAAGAACCGATGCACGTAATGCTGCAGCATTTTCACAGGAATTTGAAGTTGACGGTTTCGGACCGAAGGAAATAACAAACAAAATAAAAAATTTAGACTAAATTAATTTTTAATTTATTTAATTTTTATTTAATTTAACACACCCTCACTCACTGCACTCATGTTTGCCAATGAAGAGATAATTGCGTACAAGAATTGCGTAAGAAATTATTGTACGTGCTGTTTACATCAATAATAGTTTTGAAAGGAAACTTTTCCCATTGATCAAGAATGTTACGTTTTGTTTAGACCATGCAAATCATTTATTGCGTCGACATAATTGTATGCTACAGGCAAGAAAATGGCATCGTGTAAATGGGCCTTTAGGTTTTTTATTTTCGTTACGAATTTCTTGTGTCGGTTGCCGCGCTCAAAGCCTGCGATAAAATCTATGCAACAGCTTAAAAAGTTTAAAGCACTTCGATATATTCTCAGCTTAGATTAATTATAATGTTTAACAATTTAATTATAAACTATTATGGAATTAATAATTATATAATTATTAATTCCATAATAGTTTAACAATTTAAGCAGCTACTATAGCACTAATAACTGTTATGTACTTTATAAATACAACAAAGATCAATTTTAATATAAACTGATTCAAAATAATGCAGTTATTTTTTTATTATAATCAATAATATATTGATATTACATCTAAATTGTACCTTATTAGTTAATACTGTATATATCGTGACTACGTAAACCACTGTATTCAAAATAAAGAGTAAATGGAACGGGTTGCGTTTTGGGACGTCCAACGTGGACCGAAATTATATTATTAATTACTTACTGAAATTAAAAGACAATATCTCAGTTGGATCGGGTGAACGTTGGATCAAGGGATATCCATTGAATAAAACAAATCAAAGATGCATAATTATTTAATTCATTCCGTTTAATTTACATACGATTTACATATATTATGTTGCATAAATATTATTTTCTACGACATAGTACAATATTGACCTATAAAAATACTACCAAGTGCTACGTATTTTATGTTCCCGAATCAAGTTCGTTTATTTTATACCAATACAATTCTACGAATCTAAAGATTTCATACAAAATATATAAATTGATAATACTTTTTGTAAAAGATTTTTGACACTACAAATCGAGTCTAATAATTTTAAAATTATTTGATATGACTACTGTTGTATATCTACGCCTCGTAGCTTTCTACTGTATATGTCTACTTGTACGTGGTGTACGAGGGTAGTATGTATTTAAGTATACATACATAGTGCTTCAATTACATTCTAATAATTTAAAGTACCATCGCTTCGAATGATAGAAAATTATCTAAGATATAAGTTATAACTATATCAAGTATAGAATCCTTGATATTAAATTATATTTAATAAAAATTTGAGGTTATGCATGCATGCTATGCACATTATGTGTTTTTATTGACACAAACTTACAAAGGAAACTGTAAGTCGCATGTAGAAAAAAAGCGTTCATATTACATTACACTTATCCTAGCTAATAGTTAATACAATAATGAAGGTTAATTAGTCATATAATTCATAGGCTCCTCTAATACGCAGCATATAAGGAAGAAAAATAACAAAAGCACTAATGCGCATACGATTTTATCACATGTTATATTCATGCCACTTCTATATTATATCAAGTATTTATTAATATAGACACTTATTATATCTACGCTTCAATTCTAATCGCATTGCATTAATATACAAATGTTATATTTACGAAATAAAGCACCGTACAAAATAAATTCATTGATCAATTTGGTACTGGGTATCTTAAGCAATAAGCATTTTCGGTAAATTGGTCTGTGTAGGACGATTTGAAGGACGTATAAAGCTTTTGAACTAAAGTGGTTTAAGATAATTATTTTTGCAAAGAAATTCAATATCTATACACATAAGCAGCGGTCGATGATTGGCTCAGACCGGAGTGACTACTGTGTATTTTGCTGCTTGAGTAAAGTCAGTCAGTAAAGAATTTAAGATTCGTATCTGAGTATATATACTGTGGCTGTATAGTTTTATTATAGTGTAAGATTTTTAAAAATAAAGTTTATATTATTGGAATATATAAATGGATAGTCGTACAAGTCTTAACGTCGAAACCACGAGAATATAAGTGCGTGCTCCTATTTCACCATGCCTCGTGCTGATAGAGGACAAATCTTTGTTTTTAATTTATTTTATTATTATTTATTACTTAAGATGTCACGTTGTATGGTTATGTGGTGAAATGTTTGCAACTCCTTACAAACGTTGTGTAAAATAATAGACTTGGCTATTAAAAAGCGTGGCGGAGAGTTTATTGCCAATTCTTCTTTTCCGTTCTACGCCCTTGAATTGAGAACTGGCAATAAATTTAAAATTAGAAGCATTTCATGTATATATTTTTTTTGAATTCATAAGTGTACATTGTGTTACCTATATGAATAAATGATTTTGACTTTTGACTTATAATTTTGTGAAAGTTTAAAATATACGCGTATATCAGGATAAAGTAGCAATAACTAGTTAGTCAAGTTTAGATATTTGAATGATCCGAAAGATATATTTAATTTTGATATGTTGTAAATGATTATATAGTAATATGTTATTACGAATAGTGTGTAATACTCCTTCGATCGCTTTAACAAACGTCGTTCCAGTTAATAGATATAATTTTTTACAATGTCGCTTGTCGATCGATTTTCTATCAGGAAAATTGCTATTCAGGTAATCATTTCACGGTACACGAACATAAAAATATTGTGTTACATTGTATAAAGATATGTTAGGCTTATAAACGGTTTACATGCTTTATTCATTTCGGTGTTATTTTAGTTTAATTAATAATTTACAATAGAAGTTTGATTTTTTTTCGTAATGTAAACTGATATAAATAAATGTAATCATATATCTATCATTTATAGTAAATAGTTTTCGCATCTATAAGCGTAAATATATTTGCTAACATTTACCACATATAAAAAATACAAAGGTCTCCACAAAGTTTAAAGCCTGATCCATGCATTTTAGATGATAAAACAGGTTCAAGATTGCCATGAAAGTTTCTTAAAATGTGTCTGTAATGTTCTTTTTTTATTTAGACTGCAGATGTACGATCTGATTTTTCTATATTTTATATAGTGAACCTTGATACTGAGCTTTATAAATAAAAATAACACCCATTTTAAAATAGACACCAAAAGTATTAGTAATAGTGCATCGATACTACATTAATCTAAATTAATACGTATAATCATAATAATTTTAAATAATCTTTTATATTTACAGTTGCTTTAAGCAATATTAAATCTATTTTAGTATACGATATACTAAAGTTTCGTTGTGATTTTTTTAAATAAAATATATTTCAAATGTCTGTTTTTGTTTAAGAATTACAATACTTTAAAATTATTTCATTAATTTCACCAATTTATTAACAATTCCCATTTTATAGAAATTTTGCCTGAATTACTAGTCTCGTTGATTTACGTTAGCTGACAAATTATTTCACTTTATATTAATCACTTTTCGATTGTTAGTTTATTATTTATTTGTGACGCTAAATAAAACGATGACAAACTGTATAAATTCATCATATTACTGCTGTGGAATGCGTATCGAATATTCATAATTTTCGTGTTATAATTTTCTTACGCTTTTAAAATACTAAAAGTACGAGAGTTCTTGCCAGGTTGCTAAACCATATAACCTATACACTAAAGTAAAGTTCAAGTTCTCAAAATTTTACTAGTCAAAAGTAGTAAATAATGTCCGAAGTCTCAAAATGTACGTGCTTCTTCGGTAGCACTGCGAATAACCATCAAGCTGGACCCTTTGGACTCCTATCCTCCTCGGGTTCATTGATCTCTATTTTCGGTTTATCTCCGTCTGCTTGAGTAAGCACTTCCTGGACATGGATGGTGAGCTCTGGGCGGACGACTTGAGTGAAGGGCAGCAGCGCTCCAGCCACGTCCATGGTGTTGTTGATGTTTCTGTGCCATAACTCGAGCACGACGCTGCGCCGTTGCTACTTGTAGCGAGGGGGGCCCAGCCAGCCACAGCCGAAGACCTTATTACATATAGTGATATCGGAAAATTATGTGTTATGTGTACACAGATTTAAGAGATGAACGAGATAATGAGATGAAAAACATCTATTTGATATGTTTTTAAAAACCTTACCTTTAAAATGACGGAAAAATAAGTTTATTTTTGGACAGAAAATCAAGTAAATCTATTAATTAAGAAATCGTAATTTTTTGTTTGTATATTTCTAGTGCATGAGCTATAAATTTTTACTACTACCAAACGTATACAGTGCTACTTGAATAAAACGATTATTATTATACTTTCAGAAAAGAGAGAACTTAAAAAAGAGAAAACTTAAGACTTGCTTATATAGTTATCACTTTGAATAAAACACTTTATTCTAACTTACCTGGCAGACAACAAGGGATAATAGCAATAGTATCATCAAAGCCAGAACGCCCCACAGGACCCCAAGTTGAGTTAAAGCAAATACATAGAGAGTACGATGGCACCACTTGTTTGGGTCGAAGAGGCTCGGTGCGTAGTCTGGCCACATGATACCCAAGGTCCAGTAATTGCCAAACGCGAACCTAGAATTAAACATATTTTCAAATTTATCAAGACTATACTATAGACTATGTTATAGTAACGAAAATATATGTTTCTATGCTACATTTAAAAAATAACGTTTCTACAATCTCGTCTAAAGTTTTCAAGTCAGGCTTAAACTCATTAGTTTCGATAGAAACGTAGAAAAAAATATACGAATTAACAATGTCTATGTAAATCGCTGACAATAGAATGTCCAATAGCACTCCCCCACTCGTGAAGCCCTCTCGGGAAATGTCCCAATTAGCGACACAAGAACGTTTGACGAAAAAACGAGGACAAGTGCGGGTGTACTGTGTTGATATAAACATACATTTAAAGTTTTTAAAGCCTCATATTAAAGTAAAGTATTTTCCAAGCATTTATTTTACTGTATAATGTTTCGAAGATAAATTTACAACTCCATATATATGTAAACAAATTAATATTCTTCTTCTATATTAGTCTTCACATATCTAATCAATGTATACAAAATATTGTAAAAACTATTTTAAAAGAGATTCTTGTCCATTCTTCTCCATATGAAACCACCTTTTGAAAGGGGCAACTAGAGTCATTTTTTTATTATATTATATTGTGATTTTGACTGTCACAATTGCCTTTTTAATACCCTAATTGAAATAATTGATTTGACTTTGGTTTTATTTGCAATTGGAAAAGTATAGAGCTTTTGCTAGTATTTCTATGTTTTAAGAGTAGAAACAAATTTAATTGCAGCTGGAGAATGCTAATCACAAACAACTACTTCATTCAAAATTTTAATACTAGCTTATTAATCATTAATTTACCATCCCATAAGAAACGCAGTGAGTGAATAGGCCAGTATTTTCTCCGGCACCGATGCTGAAGAGTTAGAGTTGCGGCTAGCCAGCTGTGCCCACAATAACCAACAAATACCAGCACCCCCTGCTGCACCGCCCACCACCATATAGACAGGTAGACGAGGCTCCGCCGGACAGTCCCGGATGTATTGAACGCCTATTATATATTCATAAAGACATGATAATATGAATATAAATTGCAACAATACGAAGAAATGCTTGGTGGCTAGTAGGCATTACAGTATTATGCAGAATGCGTAGACTTGATAAGGAAATCTTCCTAGAAGTGCTTTCTAATTATTTTGTACTTATATCAAAATGTGCTAATCATAAATACGTAACAATAAAGGAAAATGTAATTAATAAGGTTTCTATGGAGGTAGACCTATTTGCTTGTTTTCTGGCTGAGTTCACAATAGTGCCTTTTTTATTAAAAGTTATAAGATGTATATGATGATTTCATTATTTGTATTTTTAACTGTATAATTATCCGGGTGTATGGTTTATCGTGAAATTCTATAGTATTAGTAATTGTAAAGATATAAAAATTATGTAATAAAATAAATATGTATTCACTCATTTTCCGTATTCTCTGAAAAATATCCAATGTTGAAATGTGATTTACGCGCCAGTAAGATGTAACGATATTATTTTAAAACGAATTGTGTATCTTGTTCGAGTTTCGTTAGGATGAGAGCTTGTGAAATATTAATCGTCTTACACTCTACGAGATTAAATTATCGTTGACATTTCAGACTTCATGTTAAATTTTCTATGCTCTTTGAAATTAATTATTATAGGAATACTGGAAATTTCTAATTAAAATTTAAATTAAAAAAGTTTACATTTCTGTGTCCCTCTCTCTAATCGATTCGGTAAAAGAGATTTCTCTTTTTCGCGATTTACCATCGTCAAATGCAATTTTTTTCTCGTACATTAATAACCAATATTTTCAATCAATCGGACCGTTTATTAAAGAGAACCAAGATTATGGTACAAATATTATATTCTGCCACACAAATTTGACAAAGTAGTTATGACATTACATAACCAATCATAGCATTATAGTCAATTCTGATATTATTTATTACTAACATTATGATAACAATGTATGATACATTGTGAATGTTTATTTATACTTTTCTAAATAATGCACGAGTATATAAATAATTCTGTTTCCTTCTAAGAATACTTTTATTCTTATTGTATCTGATAGTATTTAGGTTTTCTAACAGATATACAAGTACAGTATATTGTAGTAGTAATGACAAGTAAATTAACTACAATATTCTACTAATGAAATATGAATTGAGAGTCTATTGTCAGGTAGATATTAATTCGAATGCGTGCTGAATATTCATGAAATACCCGACACCGCTTCTGGGTGTTCGGTATTTATATTGTCTGTCAATTCAATCAATGTCCTGTTGTGTATGTCGTATTTCCATGCTTTTACATGTGAATATATTGAAAACACCGAAGTTTTTTTTAAATATAGGAATGTGTGATAGCTATATATAGGGCCACGATTAAAGGCAATTTTTTATATTTAATTTTACAGAATCGCTTATGGACGTCACTCGAAACTATGTATAAACATATTATAGGTTTCAGAACATTGCTTTTAAGAACCCTTTTATCGAAGTCATTCCGTATCTTATCCTTATCCTATCTATTATACTAGCTATATATCTATGAGCTTCCAACCCTTAACTTCTTGTATAATTAACATTTGTCCACCTCCCAATCCCAATCTAATCTTTGAATTATTTTAACAGTTCGCATCTTCTGACCCAGTTCCATTTTCTAATAGTCAAAAAAATAATTAATGCGTAGAATCGTAAGTCGCCTTCTGAATTATTTCACTTTATTATCAAATTGTATTTATTAGCAATGTGTATTAAGTAAACGTTTTAGATCTAAAAAATTTTATAATTTTGTGGTATAATTTTAACTTACCCATAATCATCATAATCACTGGGAGAGTTGACAGAACAGCTAAAAATACTGTCATAACAACTGAAAGAAACAAAACATATTTACTTGAAGCTTTTCAAATATGTAAATAATTTAATTTTGAGTTTGTATCTACATTGTCTATGTACATTTAGAAAAATATCATAACATAATCTATGACTTTTTTGAAATTTAAAGTAAAATAGTAGGTTCTTAAACTACTCACTAGTTCTATTCATAATTTTAGCAGCTCGGCAGACAAAATCTATCGTGCCCGTTGCTTCCATATTCGCATCTTTTAGCTGATACGCTACTGAACCATATGTAGTCAAACCCACGCCCAAACCCAGACCCGTGCGGTCATTATATTTAGTCTGCTCTCCGCACAGCCTTCGTTGTTCATCACCTGACACCTACATTAATTGAAATAATAAATATACTGTATGTTATTATTTCTTAAATGTACCACTTAATGTAATAAAACAAATAACTCTCACTTGGCTGACAGAACTGGACGCTCTCCGCGATCCTGTATCTGATAGGCCGGTACCTTGACGACCTCCCAAAGACGACCGATACGGAGAGACACGGCCTCTGCCACCTAAGAGTTTAATAATAGTTACAAATCTTCGTTCGTTATTCTACAAAGGTGAAGAGGTTCAAGTCCGTCAATTTGTTCTTGTTTTTTAGATATTATAATAATAATCTCGTAGTATTGAGTATATAAAATAATATTATAATTAGAAACTAAATACTTACCAGCTGTTTGGCTTTCCTCGCTTGCTCTCCTTTCCCTAGAAACTAATGGTTCTTGAAAAGTTAACGTCAAACTTCCCCTGGGGCTTAATCTTGACGCGTCTATATCTCCAGTGACTAAACTGCCTCGGCCACTTCTTTCAGATGGAGCAATGCTGCCCCTTGGGCTCCTTTGAGATTCAGGTATCAATGTACTTCTAGGAGCCCTATTTAATTCGGCGAAGTCTTTTTTTAACGCATCTGGTGCTACACTGCCTCGAGGACTTGTTCGAGGACTTGGACCCAGGTTCTTTTGGTTTCTTGCAGGGTCAATTTGTATGCTTGCAACCGAATGTCTAGGACTTCTTCCGACGTCTGGCACTAAAGAGTTTCTAGGTTGGTTCCATGATGTTCCTTCTGGGATTAAACTTCGCCGTGGTGTTCTTGCAGATGCGTCTGGAATAATACTGTTGCGTGGAGAGCGATTAAAGTCTTGTGGGTTTAAGCTCAGGCGAGATCCGTAGGCCTGTTCGACGCCAAGATTGTTCCTTGAGGGTGTGAGTGTGTTTCTTACAAGCGTTGTTTCTGGAGTGATAGAGTTTCTAGGTGACCGTGTCTCTGGTACGAGGGAATGACGAGGACTTCTTTGATAGTCCAGAGCTGCATCTGGAGCAAGACTCGCTCTTGGACTGCGTTGTGGTGGAGGTTCTAGTTCATCGTCTGTTTCTGTAGTTGCTAATGAGGCGCGTCTCGATGTCTGTGCAGAAGGTCTCGGAGATCTGGTCTGAGGCGATGTTGCCGCACTTCTTGATGCTCTCCGGCGACGGGATGACGATGTTCTGTGTAGCATTGTTAATTACTTTTGATTAACGAAACATTATTTTTTAGATCCTTTCCGCTTTACAAACATCTGTAACAAGAAATAAGAACCATTTTGAAAATAACCAAAAGATTGGCATTGTATGTAGACAATTTTATTATTACACGTGAGCTTAAATCGGACATAATATATTAAATAATGTATAACAAGGATTTTCCGTTAATTCTTATAAAAAATAAAAAATTTAAACGACAAACAAGTATAGAACCTACTGCTTTACCTACCTACAACTTTCTTTCCTTCATAAATATGGACGTTACAATCTTTAAAACTGAAAAACAAGCTCAAATATACTTCATATTCAATTCAGGAGTTGGAAACATAGTAAAGCTGTCTGCGACCTCAATTTAAAGTTTGAGCGAAGCGTCCAATATCTAAATTATGTTTTGAATGGCTCCGAAGTAATCACTCTAATTTGCGTCCAAGATGTTCCTAAGTGCGGGAATCATGTTTTAGACTTTAATCTCAATGTTTTTATTATAAATCAAAACGTGACCGGAATCATAATGAACATTTTCCTTTAAATTAGAAGCGGGAAACAATATTGATATTAGAATCTAATGAAATGTACTTTCGTGGTGGCGGTATCTTTAACGTAGAAAATAATGTATACGTCAAGCCGCGATTATCGAAATCGTTGGAGTTCGCCCAGTCGTTCGCAGTGATTTATTTAGGATTATAAAAATTAGCTTATGTTAGTTGTCATAAATATATATTAAAATGTAATTGAACAATCAACAGTGATGTTTATAAGTTTTATAATTAAACCACCTGAAATAGGCATTATCTTATCATTTCATTATAAACTCCTGACATTGTTGGTTGTGTCAATTTAGCTTTTAAACTTCGTCAATTACCAAATAAGATAAAGTTTGGGCAATATTCTTCTGCACAACCGGCCCGCTGTGAAACTATAATCATTTTGCTACTGCCCTCACAAACTGAAATAATTAGGCTTCTACGTGGCGAATCTTATTCAATTCTTAGATTTTTTTTACATATTATATCGATTATGATTAGTAAATATATTAGTGTTAGCCTAGTGGCTTGCCAAGCGTGCGACTCTCATCCCTGAGATCGTAGATTCGATCACCGGCTGTGCACCAATGGACTGTATTTCTACGTACGCCTTTATTTTTCATTCGCTCGAACGGTGAAGGAAAACATCGTGAGGAAACCGGCTTGCCTTAGACCCAAAAAGTCGACGGCGTGTGTCAGGCACAGGAGTCTGATCACCTTCTTGCTTATTGGATTGACAAATGATCATAAAACAGATCTAGAAATCTGACCTAAACAGGTTTTAGCGCGACTGATTTTTTTTAAATATCTTAGTATTAGATATAACATGTACAAAGTTGTATCATTTCTATCCCAAGAACGTTAATTCTTTATGATATTTAATATTTATATTATCCTGATATACGTTTTTACATAGTTAGAAATATTCTGGGGTGATAAATTGTCGATTAATAAATGTATAATACAAAACAACGGAGTAAAGTTTTGTGTTCAACGTTCTGTTTTCCACGCCGTTGTGAGATGGAGTACTTCTATATTTCACCAGAAAGATAGGAATAGCTCCAATACACAAAAAAATATACTATTATTATCCATCCAATTAATAAACAGCTAAGCTGAATCTTAATATACAGAAAGCATATAGAGAAAGTTTTACTTCGTAATATTAAACTTTTTTGAAGTTAAGAACAAAGAAGTGCTTATGAAAGAAAGGAGCATAATTAATCCCACGGGACAAAAAACAGTTATTTAATTTAATATCAAGCAATAAATCTACGTTAGCCGTGTCGCGACTCATTTTTCACGGCTTTCGCTAAATTGAATCGCTTAAGGTTTTCTTTCGAGAGTAATTGTTATGTAAATAACTTTAATGAAATCCCTGAATCGAATCCTCTTGGACAATTGATGATCGCATTTTTTATCTACCTCTGATTTTTTCGGATACATTGGATCTCTTATCTCTTTATTTGTAAAATTCCATTCAAATATACATTTTTGATAACACTCAATGTTTAGTGAATAATTGTATATCGCATGATAAAAGTGGTGCATGGTATGAAACACGGACGACTACTGGACACACGGCAAACGTTCGATGAAGAACAGAGCGCTCAAGAACATCTGGAGAACGACGTTATATACATAGGATTTAATTTACACTCTCTGTAGGGCAAGGCAAGGTGGTGAAAGAACTCGCCATGACATCACATGAATGTAAGGTTAGGTTAGGCTTGTGGATTTATATTAATCTACCCACTTAGCCATGCAATGACCGGATATTAAGAACTTCACAGTGGATCAAAACCCTAGTGAAAGCAAAAAACTACATAGACTTCTCTTGTTTGTCTGCTTGTTTTAAATTCAGGTAGTATTTTACAGAGATTAACTACTAAATATTAAACCACAGTAAAATACCTTCACATCTTTATAATAGTTGTATAGAAACAGTTTAAAATCTGAGAGTTTGAATGTTGTACTTAAAACTCTAAAGCCAGCAATTTTGGACTGTACGAGCTAAGTTGTGGTGTAGCGTTGTGGTCTAATTTCAGCAAGTTAATATTCCAGTACTGTATAGTACTTCACTTTGGTTAATTTACATCATGTTTATTGGTTTAGCAAGCTTAAAGTATTTGAGCTTAACAATTGGGATTATATATTATTATATTATTAACAACGTTTTATAAAATTTATATGAGAATTACATAAGATACCGTAAATGAGTTATTTGTAAAAAAATATGTATGCGGGTATTGTGTCGCGACTTGCTTAATAGATATTAAGAAAATTATTAAATTATTAGATTGTACAATCCGTGTACAATATGTGGCAGTAATACGCGTATTGCTTGACTCTCAACTTTTTTCTACTTATGCACCATTCATATTTTCTTATACGTGGAAGGAAAACCATCGTTTGTAGAAAGGCACTGAAGGGTAACAAAGAAAATGATCAAGAAATCATAGTTCGAGCCCAGCTACAATTTTTGCCCTACTTTTGCCAAACTTTTGAAGTAATTAAAGTGGTACCTGCTTAAGATATAATGTTATAAAATAAATTAAATGATAACAAAAAAATAACAATAACTAACCTTAAAATATAATAACTAAAATATATTATTCAAAGGAGTCCCTTTAGACAAGGTTCCGAAGATACTGGCAGCGTTCCCCCTTTGAATAGCTAATGATGTTATTGTAAAAGCACACCATATGAATACGTCCACAACTGAATCTGAAAATCTCATAGACCTAAAATACGCCATGGCCATTAGCACTAATTCAATTTTAAAAATTCAAACCAGTTTAAGTTTTTGCTCCTCCTTTCGACCACCAATATTATTAACCAAAAAACTGAAATCTTCCCATATTATGCTTTGGTGATATCCATACATACGAGTCTTGTAAAATAATTCCTGCTGTTAAAGATCTCATTTATTGAATAGATTTTGCCCATTCTTAACATTCATGAAGTAAATAATAAGTTTCGTTTAAAAGAAGATTTTGAGCTTTAAAAAGCTTCACTTCAATATAAAATGGAGCTACTAAATAATTACTCGTACTTCGCTTACGAAATCAAGAATATAATTAATCAAATTATGCTGTAAGCATCCTCTAAATATTTTCTCTTTCGAGGCAATGGATTTTTAACGTTTAATATCGAGTATTAAAGTACAAAACCGTATTTATGGAAATATAAATGTGTTAAGTCACGCTCTTCAAGATCATACCTAACAGGTAACGTAATTAATTTCACTTAATTTTGGCCATTAAGGAATATATTATAGTTATCTAAAACAGTCCTTTAAATATAATAATTACATAAAAGTTATAAATAATGACACTTAGTTTAGTAAACGCCTTTAGCCAAGAGGTTCCGATATCTGTATAGATCTTCATCATTCATTTATGTCATTGTTTCACGTCAGGTATCAAAGTTTGAGAATCCGTCCCAGGACTTTAGAAGTATTCAAAAACATTACCAAGAAGACGGTTATTCAACTCTTGAATCTAAATAACCTTCTTGTATAACTGCGATCTTGAATTATTTATCAAACCTATTAAAATTTGTATTTACTCAGTTTATTGGTTATTAATTTGGTAATTATGATTATATTTCATTGCATATAGTGAACGATTAAGTCATGCTCGTTCCACAACTGTTTTTTAAGGCAGTTTTTGTCGCGCACCACCACTATGTGGAGCTGCCAATCGATGTATTTCCCAACCTATTTGACTTAGGGTCCTTCAAGAAAAGACCATACTATACATAACTTGCCAGTCCTCTGGCAATGTGAGTGTCTATGTAGTATATTGTATCACTTAACATCAGAAGAGCCTCTTGCACATTTTCCCCCTGTTATATAGAATTTAAAAAAATATATTTTTGTGTTACAATTTGTTTGATTATTAAATTAAAGTAAGTAAGACGTAACTGAAAAGCAGATGGATACTCAGTTAATGAAATTTTTTTTTCAAATTGAGGATAGGCATAAGCTTCGGCTGAAGCGTTATACGACCCAATTACTTTTCAAAACGAAAAGAAGTGAATACAAATGGTTTAAGTTTTTAAGGGATTTCGGAAAGCGTTTCCGTGTTTTGTCCATTAAGATGGCTTACATTAAATGGCTGTTACACCATTTGTTTATATTACTTAGCAGGGCGATACAGTGCACCTATACACAGTATGAATAACAACACAAAATTCATTATTCTACCAGATCATATAGACTCTTAATAGTACACTTTTAAATGATATTTGAAAATAAAAAGATTCCATAGGAACAAAGAAGTGCAATGCTTTCACAAACGTAGACAAAAGTAATGTACTTAAGGTGAAAAAGAAATATATGTCTTATAAACGGAATTAATTATTAGGATAGTAAGTTTAATAAAAAAGTTTTCTGAATTTCATAATTCATGTTAAATTAAATTATAAAACAAAATCAGTTAAACTTT